CACAGTGTAAATAGAAATAAGAACAGTGTAGATAGAAATAACAGCAGTGTAAATAGAAAAAAACCACAGTGTAAATAGAAATAATCACAGTGTAAATAGAAATAAGAACAGTGTAGATAGAAGCAACAGCAGTGTAAATTGAAATAACCACGGTGTAAATAGAAATAATCACAGTGTAAATAGAAATAATCACAGTGTAAATAGAAATAACAACAGTGTAAATAGAAATAATCACAGTGTAAATAGAAATAACCACAGTGTAAATAGAAATAAGAATAGTGAAAATAGAAAGAACCGCAGTGTAAATAGAAATAAGAACAGTGTAGATAGAAATAACAGCAGTGTAAATAGAAATAACCACAGTGCAAATTGAAATAAACTCAGTGTAAATAGAAATAACCACAGTGTAAATAGAAATAACCACAATGTAAATAGAAATAACCACAGTGTAAATAGAAATAACCACAGTGTAAATAGAAATAACCACAATGTAAATAGAAAACCACAGTGTAAATAGAAATAACCACAGTGTAAATAGAAATAACCACAGTGTAAATAGAAATAACCACAGTGTAAATAGAAATAATCACAGTGTAAATAGAAATAACCACAGTGTAAATAGAAATAATCACAGTTTAAATAGAAATAACCACAGTATAAATAGAAATAATCACAGTTTAAATAGAAATAACAACAGTGCAAATTGAAATAAACTCAGTGTAAATAGAAATAAACAACAATTGAGGTCAAATAAAATCAAGGTCTTCAGATTCAGATTCTCTTTATTGTCATTCAAACATCAGGGATGCACTGTAGAACAAAATTACAATGCATATTAGCACATGACATAAACAGCTTGATGAACTAAAAATAATGTAAAATTAGAAATGCTAAATTAAACAAAGTAAAATGTTAGGCATATAAAAAACAGAAAAAATATAATAATAAAAAATAAAGTAAAAATAGAGTGAGGTAGAATCAAGATCGAGGTGTAGGTGGTATAAATAGAAAGATACATAATAAGGTGCATGCATTTGCATTTATGCAATATATAACAGTACGTGTGCAAAAACAATGACCAGGTAGATGAGATACTGTTATATTGTTGGTTGCAGCACTCATAAAACCTTTAGAGATATTTTGATCAAAGTCTGAGATGCCTCTGAATGACTTCTTCAGGTGTCCACCATATTACATATTTTATATAGGAGAAATTATCAATCCAAAAAAAAAAAAAATACCAGTTTGGAAGATAAAAACATCTACAAAACATATTATTCCTTTATGGTGGATTGTTTAAGTTATAAAAGAGTTTGCAAACAGAATGCTAAGACATCTTGAGTTTTATCATTACACTGTAAGGTAAACATTTTTATGGTGTAATTTTCAAAAAACATAATTGTTTGAAAAATTTTAGTTTCACTGTGATTTTTTTAAGACTATAAATTATGTCCTGCATGTTTTAGGAGAATGTTTCTCTTTTTTTTTTTTTGCTTTTGTGTGGTGATTTGACCACTACGGCAGCCCAAACTGGTCTTTGTCCTCTGCTGTTGAAGGTGTTTGGGGGCGGAGTCTTACTGATGGAAGATTCCAGGTGAAGTGGTCCTTTATGCCTCTTTAAAATCACTTCAGGTCAGTGGAGATCAATTCAACTCCTCACAGAAAGCTTGTGTCCTGAAACACGTTGGAGGTTTTTTTGTRTTTATTTATTTATTTTTTTTAAATTTATTTTATTTTTATAATTATGCTGTGGGAACTTTGACCATTTTAAGAGGCAAGTGACTTGCAGTCTTTTTGACTG